AAAATTCCCAAAATTTGGGTCAAAATTCCTGAAAAAAATCCAAATTTTGGGTAAAAAAATCCCCCAAAATTCCCAAATTTTTTTGAGCAAAAATTCCCAAATTTTGGGACCAAAATCCTCAAAAAATCCCAAATTTCTGGATAAAAAAAATCCAAAAAAATTCCAAATTTTGGGACCAATTTTCCTTAAAAAAATCGAAATTTTGGCTCCAAAATTCCTGATAAAATCCAAATTTTGGGTAAAAAATCCCCAAAATTCTCAAATTTTTGGGCTCAAAAATTCCCAAAAAATTCAAAATTTTGGGACCAATTTTCCTAAAAAAAAATCGAAATTTTGGCACCAAAAATTCCTGAAAAAATCCAAATTTTGGGTAAAAAATCCCCAAAAATTCCCAGATTTTGGGACAAAAATTCCCAAAAAGTTCCAAATTTTGGGACCAATTTTCTGTAAAAAATTGAAATATTTGGCAATAAAATTAGTGAAAAATTACGAATTTTGGGTTAAAAAATCCCCAAAATTCCCAAATTTTGGGATCAAAAATCCAAGAAAATTCTCAAATTTTGGGCAAAAAATTTCCCAAAAATTCCCAAATTTTGGGACCAATTTTCCTTAAAAAAATCAAAATTTTGGCACAAAAATTCCTTAAAAATTTTGAATTTTCGATCAAAATTTTGGTTAAAAAAATCCAAATTTTGGGTTTAAAAAATCCCCCAAAATTCCCAAATTTTGCCACAGAAATTCCCAAATTTTGAGCCCAAAATTCCACAAATTCACCAAATTTTTGTGTCAAAAAAAATCCCAAAAAATTCCAAATTTTGGGACCGATTTTCTTCAAAAAATTGAATTTTCAGCACCGAAATTCTTTAAAAAATCCAAATTTTGGGTAAAAAATCCCCAAAAATTCCCAAATTTTGGGTTAAAAAAATCCCAAAAATTCCCAAATTTTGGGACAAAAATTCCCAAATTTTGGGACCAATTTTCTGTAAAAAATTGAAATTTTTGGCAATAAAATTAGTGAACAATTCCATATTTTGGGTAAAAAATCCTCAAAAATTCCCAAATTTTTGGCTCAAAATTCCACAAATTTTTGATCCCACAAATCCCCCAAAAAAAGTCCAAATTTTGGGACCAAAATTCCCAAAATTCGGGACCAATTTTCCTAAAAAAAAAATTGGAAATTTTGGCACAAAAATCCCTTAAAAATCTTGAATTTTCGCTCTAATTTCGTTGGGAAAAAAATCCGAATTTTGGGTTAAAAAATCCCCATTTTACCACTAAAAATTCCCAAATTTTGTGGTGAAAATTCCCAAAAAAATTCTGAATTTTACACTAAAAATTCGATTTTTTTCCCATAAAAACCCTTATAAAAAAGCCGTTTTTTCACCAAAATTCCTGATTTTTTCGCCAAAAAATTCCCCATTTTTTTGTTTTTCGGGAATTCCGGGTGAAAATTCCCAAATTTTTTGGTTTCTTTTCCAGATGGAGGCGATCCCTGGAGTGGCCAAGCGGGATTTTCGGGAATGTTGGGGAATTCTTCCCATTCCAGCAGCTACTGCAGCCTCCACCCCCACGAGCGCCTGGTGAGAAT